TTCGATTCGCATTTAATTATAAACGTACTCGGTTCAACTCGTTGCTAGTTGACCCTGGTGTGCTAACTTTGTTTATGCTTAGAGCTGCAGGAATTCGGCTGTGTGGCTGGCGAAGAAAATAAGTTTGATGCACTTTCTTGTCGGTATACAGCGTGACTCACGGTGGATGGTAGGTTAGACGTTTCTGGAAAGCGCAAAGCATGATTTTTCTGAAAATTTCATCTCTCACATTTCCTTACCTGTTCTATCGATCTAAAATATTTTCAGCATTGCGGCGTTGCCACTTCTATCAAAAAGTCCTAGCAATTATATTTTTTTAAATGGAACACCCCCTATATTGATACATTTTTGGAATTGCTCTGGTGTTTTAATACTTTTTTGTTAATAATATCCTATACCTATCTCTATCTGTTTTCGAGGTAAGAAATAAATTGTGCTGAATATGGTCCAAAACATAGCCTTAATTGAAATTAAGTACATCAGTACTCTCAATTCATGAAAAGTTTATATTCTGATGATAGTTTGGACAAACTTGAAATATTCAAATAACACCAAGAAATCGACTCCATATCATACAGGGCGTGCTAAAATTACTATTATTTCCATTGTGCATAAAAGTAGTCAAAAGTTACAGGAAGTTTCCAGGAAACTTGACGAACTCTTCGACGATCGTTGGTTTAGGCGTTTAGGGCCGTGGGATTGGCCACCGAGATCACCTGATCTCACGCCACTTGACTTTTTTATGGGGTGTTTTAAAAGAAAGGGTATACAAAATCTTACTTTTTACCTAGAAATGACTGATTTTTGGTACAGTTGTTCCCTGGAAACTTTGAGCCAGAGTTAAGGAAATTATTTTGCAACCTTACAAACTTCCTCTCGTTCATTGGTGTTAATTCAGGATACATTTGGTTGCATTTTTTACACGTTCTGAAAATGATTTGATCACTTTGTTCATGTGTATAATAAATAATTTCATAAGAACTTCGTTTGAATAATCGATATTTCCATTCATTTTGGATGATTCGAAACACCGTCGATAAGTCTTTGTGAATTACTTATAGAAGTAACCGAACTGCTATAAGCTTGATAATTCCACTGCTACCTGAATCCAAATTCTAAAAAAAATTATGTTTCTAGAAAAAGCGACTTTATTGAGAAAACTTGACGATTTAGGTATAGGGACATGATATATCATCTTGAAGCATTTTTCACCATCTTTCAATTTACCGAGTAATATACAGGGAGTTTCATTTGAAAAAATGAACTTTTGACTACTTTTATACACAATGGAAATAATAGTAATTTTAGCACGCCCTGTATGATATGGAGTCAATTTCTTGGTGTTATTTGAATATTTCGAGTTTGTCCAAACTATAATCAAAATACCAACTTTTCATGAATTGAGAGTGCTGATGTACTTAATTTCAATTAAGGCTATGTTTTGGCCCATATTTATCACAATTTATTTTTTATCTCGAAAACCGATAGAGATAGGTATAGGACATTATCAACAAGAAAGTATTAAAATACCAGAGCGATTACAAAAATGTATTAATATACGGGGTGTTCCATTTAAAAAAATTAAGTAGCTAGGACTTTTTGATGGAAGTGGCAACGCCGCAAATGGGAGCTGTGATTTCACGATTTGACTGGTTTAATATACAGCAGTTGACATTATGATATTACTTATGCTTGTTAGCATTATCAGAAAATAGTCCAGTCATTTAAGGAGTTTCATCTCGGAATGAGAGATAATAAGCTGTCAACTCGCATACACGTTCATTTCGATGTTCTAAAAGTTGTCTCAGACGTCTCATAAAATCTCGTGTCTGCGCCGGAAGTTATTCAAGGTCAAAAGTCACAAAATTCAGTTTTTTGCAATTATCTCGGTTTCTATAGCTCCAATGATGTTAATAGTCATTATGAAAATTGTAGAGCATAAAATTTGTAACAAATTTTGTTACAAAATTTATTTCATACGCCCAACCGTTTTTGAGATAGAGGACGGCATATACACGACGTTTCCCAACTACGGTATAAAACTTCAAAGGGTGGTTCGTTGTGTCAATAATAACATCAATTGAAAGTAGTAGGAAATCTAGTTATAATAAATATACGTATACAGTGCTCGTTACTATAGAGTAGAGTAGAGAAAAAAACTGTTCAATCCGCGAATTGAACCCTTTCCACGTACAGTGCTCAGCGCTAATCAGTTGCTCCTTTCACGTATCAAAACGGATGTGAGGATCTCCCTTCACTAATAAGTGATACATATTTTTATATACCATTCTAATGAAATATCTATCTAGGTCGTCCGACAGGCAATTAAAAAGATCTTCCGTTCACTTGTGAATAATAGTCGAATGTCGAGCAAACAACTTCTAATGACTTTTTTCGTTCAAAATAATCAATTTGAACTCCGTTCAGAAAAAGTGGTATCAGAAACAAAAAATTGATTGATAATTAGATTGTTGAAGATAACCAACATTTGTTGAATCTTAGACGGAAATGATAATTTAAGCACATTCAAAACATCAAAGACACGACAGTCGATCGGGAATGTATACTACAAGGGCTGAGATGACTCGTGCCTAACACAGAGATGGCGCTCATTGCATTCACCGCTTTTTCGGTTAGTCCTAACCCTCAAAAGAAAGCTGTTGAAATTTCATGAAATTCTACTCATAAGTTTGTGAGTTATTGTGCTAAGAGTGACGCTACTTTTGTTATTTTCAAAACAATGATGGAAAAAAATACCGTTCAAGCAAAACAACAGCTTGAAAAGTGCTCCATCAGATACAATAATTAAACGTTGGTTTGCTGACGTAGAGACATCGATGATGCAGAATGCAGTGGACGTCCAAATGACAAATAACACCAGAAAGCATGAAAGAACCCCACAAAATCGTTTTGAATGCTTGAAAAATGAAGTTGCGTGAGTTAGCTTATCAGAAAAAAAATATTTATTATTTATTTAAAGTTAACAATTGAATAACTTTTTGAAAAATGGTGATAAAACTTTTTTTTCTACGGGACTTGATTCATTCAAGTGTTAAGAAGATACTAGATTTTTTTTGAATTTTCAAAATGACATTTTATGTTATAAAAAATTATTTATTTTGATAAACTCTCTTTAGCGTGCATGCCGTAACAGCCGCGCTGAACCCTATTTTCAACGTTAAATTAAAATTATAAATAATGGAGATAAGAGTTTCGGCAGTCTGGATGTTTTTATCGGAAATTTCCTCCTCTTCAACGAGCATTTTTCAAAATTGCCTAGATATTAACATTTTTTGAGTTATTAACGAAAAAATAAATACCATTTTTTCAATCTTATTTGGTAATAACAATTGCAATTTCTTACCTGCACCAAAATCCTTCAAAACATTTTTCTAGAGGTGATTCCGAATTGAATGAGCTATCGCTCATATTTTTAGGACCTTTATCTCTGTTTTTCATGTTTTTGAACTTGTTGATTACGTACTGTTGTCAAGCTGATTGACTTCTTCATTTCTTTGAAAACTCGCAGACCTACTGCATCTTTCGTGACAACCATTCTAGTAACCTTATGCTAATCGAAATGTGAAAGCCCTTTGTTAAATGGTCATCACGTCATTCTAGACATACTTTGGATCAAACCTAAATTCTGATCGCCTATAATCTAGGGCGTCACATTCGCTCAAAACATGAGAAGCCGCCTTTGTTTCTTCGATGCATTGGCTGAAGCTGGGGTCTCTATTATATAACCATATTCTGTTCAGGTGTCCATCAATCAGCAGTTTCCAAGTGAGTAGTTTGAATAATCTGAGCCAATCAGTTCTTTCATCACATGTTTCATTGAGCAATTCCCTGATATTCCTGATAACTTCAGTTATCGTATATGCTAGATCTGCATACTCATCAGATTTTTCATTGCTGGGTGTTAGCACCCAGCACAACTGTGAACGGATGGTCTTAACTTTTCTTCTTCCATATCTTGTCCTGCAACATACGATCCCCTACTATATTACTATATTTGCCTTGAACTAAAATGATTGAGTCGTCTGCTGGACCTGATACATTAGGACAATTATGGTCCAGAATCTTGTTCATTATAAAGTTTCATGAGAGAGAGTAAGAAACTTTCCTTGAAGGTTATATAGTTTATAGATACCAGTATCACTACTGTTCCTTTATAATGGTCGTGTATATGTCACAATTGAACGTGCACTCTTCTGCATCTATTCCTCTTACTATATTATTTGTCCTGAACTCAGGTGACTGAGCCGTTTTAATAATAGTCCATTATCCTCCAGAAGACGTAAAATTCCATCCAATTCAAGGTTCTTTGACAGTAGGGGAAGATCTCTCCTCTTCTCTTCGACTCCTCTACTCTCCTCAAGAAAGCTGCTAAAAATTACAGTAAACGCATTCTGCATTCCACAATTTTTTCACATGTTTTTAAAGGACAATCGTGAGTAGAAAAAAGAGTTGAAATCACCTTTATTTTTAGGGCTCTGATTTCAATCAGTTGCCTTATAGTAAAAGAATAAGAAAGACAAATGATGAATCTCGTTCAGCGGTTGACCGCCTCTGCGAGTCTCATTTATCATTGTTATTCTCGGTTGTGAATCTTTTCCGATCTCATAAATGATGTCTTCGTAAGGGAGGACAGTATTCAATTCAATTCAATTCATTTGCAAAACACCCCAAATGTACATCGACGTTAATACTGTCACTAATCGAGACCTTCACCGATTCGTTCCTATGTTATAGAGTTGGCAAAAATCTAAGTTAGTGTTATAGAGGGCGCAGAAATCTAACAACACCAGTTGAACTTGATGAACTTGTTTCGTTTACTTAAATGTGTTGATCAACTATATAATTTATATAATATCCTGTATATCCTGTAGTATCCTGTCTATATAGTATCCTGTATACAGAAAAATTAAAGATGTGACAGTCATTAACTGTCTTCTCGTTGATATACAACAGAACTCACGCTCTCTTTTCATTTCCAGATACCGCTGCCCCTTACGTTCTCTACAAAGATGGAATGGACCGGACCCAGACCCAATGGGGTCACCAAGACATCTACCCGCCGCCTCAACAGCAAGCCGCGACGGGAGCGGGCAGCCCGCAGCAAGTCCTCGGCCCTCCCACAGTTCCGCTCGGCGTGGAGGCTGACACAGTGCCACCTAGAGACCAGAGTCTTCCGTCGCCCGCACCCTCGCCGTATCCTGCCACCCAAGCCGAACCGAGGGAAGACGAAATTCGCCCGGAACAGCCAAACATGGACCTAGAGCCGAGACCGGCGTCTGAATGCTTCAACACGGACTTGCAGCAACAGCAGGCGTACCAACAGTACGCGAGAGCACCGCCCCCGGCAGCTCCACCGCCCACAGGGGCACCACCGCCCGTACCGCCCCACATGCTCGGGGCCGGCAGTTTCTCCGCTCTGCAGTATCTCAAACAGCCCGGGATGATGCTGACTAGTCTAGGACCCGAGACCAATAACCAGCTGGATCAGTACTCTTCGAACATGCAGGATCTGCGAGCAGCCGCACTTCCGGATGTCATCCAGCAGCAACACGCGGGTATGAAAAAACACACCAACGGCATGAGCGGCGAGCTGCGGTTGTTCAAGTGTTTGACCTGCGGCAAGGACTTCAAGCAGAAGTCCACCCTACTACAGCACGAGCGTATCCACACCGACAGCCGGCCTTACGGGTGCCCCGAGTGCGGCAAGAGGTTTCGCCAGCAGTCGCACCTGACCCAGCACCTGCGGATTCACGCCAACGAGAAGCCATACGCGTGTGTGTACTGCGAGCGGACGTTCAGGCAGCGCGCTATCCTGAACCAGCACCTGAGGATCCATTCCGGTGAGAAGCCCTATGAGTGCCCGGAGTGCGGCAAACACTTCCGGCAGAAGGCTATCCTCAACCAGCACGTCCGCACACACCAAGGCGAGCGCCCCGTTTACTTTTTAGGCGGCGGCCACTCTGGCAGCCCCGTCGTCAGTCGCTATGCTTGTTGTGCCGCTAGACGGGCGGTTAGAGTTGGTCTGCTGCACTCCCCACACTCCTTTTTTGATCGCATTTTCGGGCGGGGGTTTTTCAGAAATAGCGCTCGATGTTAAACTTACCAGAGTAATTGTAGCTCTTTTTTAAGCCAGGGATATGATGAATTGAATCACTCGACACACATCAGACATAATTGAAGCAGAGTCTCGATGTACGTTTCGAAAGCCAAATCAATTCATGGCTAGAACTGAAACCTCCACAACTAACTTAAGGCCTTCCATACGCATCTGGAAGAATCATTACATTTGGTAATGAAGGTCATTGAATCAATATTATTCCATTAGAATCTTGTCACCTCAGAGATGCCAATTCTACCTATGAAGTGAGGTTAAGTATGATGAAAACCACTGTTTTTTCACTACAAAGCTATTTTTCTCAACACAAATATCTTTCTCTGATGAAAACTAAGGTCATCATCGTCAAGTTATGATAAAATTGAGAACAGCCTGGTAATAGCAGAGGTTTGCTCTCACCTGGCTGGAATACTTTAAGAAGAAGGCATTACTATTATCTTTCTGGTCATGGATCCGATATGTCGATGATGACACAGTTGTTTTCTGGAAACATAAAAGAGACAACCTGAATCAGATATTAGAACGCCTGAACATTCAGTTCACCATGGAGACAGAGAAAGACGAAGAAATAGCTTTTATGTAGGTCTCTGTGAGATAAGATGGTTCCCTTGTGATCAGTACGACATACCGGAAACCAACATACACTCATGCTCTTTCCAATTATCATCCCAGTCGAAAACGAGGAGTCATTGAGACACTTGCAGAAAGTGCAACAGAATTGGCGACCTAGAATACCTGGAGGTAGAACTGAGTTACCTACACACCAGAACGTTTCATAAAACCTGCCTACCCTTTATCCCTATAGTAATAGATCGACTAGGAATAAAACAATCTTGGAACCAACAAAGAAGGTTAATAATTCTCTGCAATGTGTCAAAGATCGCAGGGACACACGCTTAGCTGCGGAGGTACTTACTTCGCATACCATGATCGTGAGATAAGATAAGAACGACAATAACGTTCATGGGTACTAGAACAAAGGAACACCAAAGAACTTGCAGACTGGGTCAAACAAACATATGAGCAGTAGCGAAACATGCGCTTAGATCACCAAGTCTCCTTCGGAGGATTCAACTTGCCAGCGCCAGGCTAAGTATATCATAGTCAGCTAATTAGGAAGCGATTGGAATTCAAGAATATGCGGACTTTTTCAACGGGATGGGTTGATCTTCTTTAACGTTTGGAATCTAATCCTTGCTGAAACGAATAAAGTGCCATAACGCCACATCCTGATCCACCCACGACTATCACACCCTACAGTGTCGCTGACTTGGTTTCCTCTACCAACTCTTTCACAGTATAAGTACAACCTTCAACCTAGAACGCACCATATGAAAGCTAGCTTTGCGTGCTGGCAAAACGTCAGGAAGAAATTTCACAATTCGATGGCCGTCAAACCCGATAAAATATACCTATTCAGTAGACCAGGGACGCGAAAAGCTAATAAATTCTTGAATGAGCTGAAAGATTGTCTTGATACCAGGATACTCCATACGGCAACGCAAAAGGTGATTATTATGCTAGTCGCGGACTCTAGATATGGACCTTGAACCATCTGTGGGGGTACCAAAACTATTTTTGCAAAACCAGGTCGGATAATGGGTAAGGAAGGAGAGAAGAATACTGAAAAAATATACCTAGAAACGTAGCTACACGAAAACATCTGAGGAAAGAAATGAAGAACTGCTTCAGTCAAACAGGGATCAGCTCAGAATAGTTATTGGACCACTAACTGGACACTGTCCATCAAATGGACACAACAAACAGGGCTGAATAAAGAAAACTGAGGCAATGAAACAGATGAATGGAGACAGCTCTGCATGTTTTTTACGAATATGAGGCACTAGCTCACAGGTTGAAGCAATTTATGAACATACCAAATAATTTTCAGGAGGATTTGATTGAACATCCAATAAAAAAAACTGTACAACTGGGGAGAAGGATGTTGCAAAGGCCAGCACATTTGTTGGCGATTTGAAAGAAGTGCAGCAAATATATATTCAATAATATGTAATCAAAAACAGCAATATTATTTCTCGAAGGAATGTATTTCATTACATTACACACATCGAACGCTACAAATGAAAAACCCTTTCTTCGGAGACATCGAAATTACAAAATCGCAACACATGTTTTACTGTTCAATAGCTTTCTCAGTATGAAAACCACCGAGGAGGCTACTGAATATTGTTGTGGTTTTGAAATCCGTTCAGTAAAAATCTTACAATCAACTGTTTTTTTAATACTATGTAGTTAAGGTACTGATTTGAGCATATTTATTGCTAACCTTTTTCCTGAAATGATAATTTTTTACCATTTGATTTTCAAAAAAAATCAAGCACTTTCCCATTTGCACATAATGCAACCCTGACTCTGACCTAATAACACATCAATTGCATATAGTCAATAACCGAATAACAACAAATGTCTCTCAGCATTAGAATCAATCAAAACCCCAGACTCCCCTCTCACGTGACATTTCCCTTGCAGACGTCAGCCCCCACCTGGTCTTCAAAAACGGAATCAACCCGACCCTGTGGCCCCAGGACGTCCCGTTTCCTCCAGACGAGGGAAAAGAAGAAGTCCAATCGACGTACGGTGACGGCGACAACTCCGACAGAGCTTCCTGCTTCTCCCCGAACGGAATGCCCGGAGGCCTACAGTACCCCGCCTACTTCAAGGACGGCAAAGGCATGAACCACGCCGTCTTTGGCCCCGGAGGAACCAACTTCGGAGCCCTGCAATACCTTAAGCAGCAGCAGCCCGGTAAAATCGGCTTGCCAGACGTGATCCAACACGGCAGGTCAGCCGGGATGCCCCTGTACGTGCGCTGTCCGATTTGCCAGAAGGAGTTCAAGCAGAAGTCCACGCTACTGCAGCACGGCTGCATACATATCGAGTCGAGGCCGTACCCTTGTCCGGAGTGCGGGAAACGGTTTCGTCAGCAGAGCCACCTAACCCAGCACCTGCGAATTCACACTAACGAAAAGCCGTATGGCTGCGTCTACTGCGGAAGGAACTTCAGACAAAGGACGATCCTCAACCAGCACCTGCGGATCCATACGGGGGAGAAGCCCTACAAATGCGCGCAGTGTGGGAAAGACTTCCGACAGAAAGCCATCCTGGACCAGCACACCAGGACGCACCAGGGCGACAGGCCGTTCTGCTGTCCGATGCCGAACTGCAGGAGGCGCTTCGCCACGGAGCCAGAGGTGAAGAAGCACATCGACAACCACATGAACCCGCACGCTGCCAAGGCCAGGAGGGACTCTACAGGTTCCGACGGAAAATTACCCGGCAACGGGATGTTATCCAGGGGGTTGACGCCCACGACCGTAGTGAAGCCCGAGCTGTACTTCCCCCAATGCTACGCGCCCAGTTTCAACCCTCCCACGCAGTTCCAGGCGCCTAATCCTGAATTTAAACCGCCTAACGCTCTGCCGGCCCAGTGACTAACGGCGAGCTGGCAACTGGGTCCTTGTATCGGGTGACCTTTTGCCGGTTTACAGACTTAACCCGATGTAGTTGTTTCGTAAATCTTCATTTCGATTCGTTTTTTTCCTTCGAGAAATATCCCAGATATTTTCTGCTGAGTGATTATCACGTGGTGCTGTAAGAACCAAGTTGTTGATCGCTTGTATGGCGTATTCAAAATATTGCGGTACACGCTCTAGATGTAGAGGGAAACGGCAGTCGCCAGACCTACGGCATGGTGTCAAGCCTAAATATACATCAGGTAATTGGAAACAAAATTTTAGAGGAAACATTGAAATACCAAAAGCGAATACTTTCCATAGGATACTGTTATAAACTCATTAATAATTGCCAGAAACTCTACATGGTTCTTAACTAACTGTTTGAAAGCGAGGCCCTTTTACAGATATCATGCAATATATTTTCAACAATCTAACGTCAGATTACTACTGCTAGTAATAAAAAACATCATTCTCATAATATGACAATGCGAAATGAAATTCAACAGGAATACCTTAATATAATATAAACTTCACCCACTTTGAAATAATTCACTATCACTTTCTGATGATAATGTTTAATAACAACAATGATCTAACGTTAGGATGTTTAACGCGCGCAATCAAAGCAAGACGTCAACTGGAAAGTTAATCGTCCAGACACGACATCTACCGGACATATTTAAAGTAAGCCAGATGGTGAAACAAAAACAAAGTCGTTGTTTGAGTAGTGTCAGCATCGGTAGAAATTTTTCCCTACGAGTATATATTCAATGATCTGTTGATGAGAAAGATTAACAACTAGCGAACATTCACGGCTGGAGTTTTCATTTTTCGTTGTCCAAAGATCAACTTTTCTAAAATAACATAAGTTTGGAAGCTCTGCGATATTAGAACACACCACCCTAAGAATTTTTCCTGAATCGCAGCAGTTACATTCATCTGTTGTAATTTTGTAATGAATAGTTTTACTAATAATGGGAAAATTTATTATGAATTTTGTGTGTTTGTGGTAAACATTTCGATGGAGATGACGAAAGAAGTTGAAAAGACTGATGTTTAACTTTGACATCTGCTTTACCTTCGTTTATTCCGCTGGTATCATCTTTCAAATAACGGATTATTCATACCATACCATTTCGATATATTTTTTATTTAACTAACAGCGTGATATTTCTTCGAAATTTCTATATCATGTCACAATGTCTTCGTTTTCCTTGAGTTTTGCAGCGCCAATGTCATTAGAAGCCTTACACATTAAGCGAGATTGAAAGAAGATGAAGTCACTTATTTTGTGGAAAAAAAACTTCCAAACGAATATTTTTATATTTTTTAAAAGGTTTTTTTCCATTCCAGATGTTCGAAGGGAAGATATAAAAAGATTCAATAAGCAAAAGTTACGAACCATGAAGGGATATGCCAATTTTTATCATGAGTTTAATTCATTACCTTCTTAAAAATGATTAATAATTAGATTTGGTAATGTACATCTCGTCCCATTTTATGTATCTCCCAAAAGTCCTAGGATTAGAGGTCTCTTGGCCTCAGCTGTCAGAGCAATCAACCCAAGTTTTTATATTCGTTCTAAATTCTTACAATGGTGTACACAACTGTCGAATCATTGACTCGATACTATACTATAGTTCTGGCTGCCGCTGGCCCTTACCCAGATACATGTAACATGTGAAGTATTTTGAAAATTGTGTCCGGTCACTTAGTGTCAATACATTTAAGCGAAAAGGTACTTTACTGAGTATAATATATTATTGTTGTAGTTAGATTATACTATTATGTGATCTCTTTAATGTAAATTTGCAAGAGAGAAAGATAGAACTGTTTGACGGGTTCTAACTTTTTTCTGACGCATGCTATGGTCTGAGAATACCATACTTTTTACAAACAGATACAATAAAAACGGAGAACAACTTTAAAAATAATTATGTGCCTCAATATGAACGCGCCGAGTATTTCTGAGAAACCGTTTAATTTTGTTGGGTTATTCGAAGAATTGCTTTCGTTGGACGATCGAATAGAGAAAAGAATTGAAGGACATTTTCTAGTGTCAAAACGCCATCTACACAAAGTTAAGCTCGTTGCAGAAGTATTGATTTTTGTAATGCACAATGTATATAAACACTTGAAAAAATATTCAAGTTCAATTAAATCACGAGTTGAGTAAAAATTTTGAAAACTTTCTTCGGTGTATCGAAAGAAATGTCTTCTCACTAATGAGTTACATATATTTTTCTCTACTTCTATTGATGTTTCATATGAAACTTTTTTGATATAATTCCTGTATGTAAAAATAAAATCGACTGCAGAGTTAATCATATGCTGAGAAGGTCCAAATATTGAAATAACAATAAATAATTGAAAAAAGTAAACACTCTCTCTACAAAAAATGTCTTCTCACTAATGAATTACATATATTGTGTAACTTTTTCCCTACTTTTATTGATGTTTCATATGAAACTTTTTTGATATAATTCCTATATGTGAAGATAAAATCGACTGCAGAGATAATTATATGCTGAAAAGGTCCAATTTAAATAACAATAAATAATTGAAAAAAGTCAAAACTCTCTCTAACGAATGCAATTTATTATATCAGTTTAAAATATGCGATACTTCAGTTGCAAAATATTATCTACATTTTAAACAATATGAATGAAATAATGATAATATATAAGATTCAGAATTTGGGCAGAATTGACTATTAACAAATTAATTCCACTTCGAACGTCCTCCCAACTCGAAGAAATACTTGAACAGTTCCCGAAAATGTTAGTGAGAAAAATATTTTTGAAAGTTGTTCTTTTTGCAATAGAAACGATATTTTTATAATAAGTTAACTGACAGTACACAATTTAATTCTACACAGTGTCTTCAATAAAATAGATATTCAATTTATACAAACCTATACGTAAAACAGATTATGGTGATGGTATTTGAACCCATTCTTTATATGATCTACCGTTTTTATACAATATATTCTATATATACAATTCATTAGAGTTAAAGTTTTTTATACAGAGTTGACGCACCAACAGCTACATGTAATATTTGGAGTGGATTACCGAAAATCACTAAACAAAGTAGTCTTAGTTATGTTCAGATTTATTTCGAGAAATTTATTGAGGAGAAGTTCTAGAAAGGTGCCATGAAAACTCTGATAATATACTGGGGTTTGATGAAGTCTATCTGTATGTATCAATATTTCCTACGGATTATTTTTACAGATTTTGATCGATTTAACGTTTACTCAGACCTCAAAGCGTCATATACTTTTTTGAAATGAGTCTACAGAAAGTCTTAGGAATAAATCTACGTAGTTTTCGTTGAATTGCAAGGAGTTTCCTTCATTTGAAAAGTCCCACAACATCTGAAATCAATATTTTAGATGCCCTGTATTATATTAGACGTTGGTTGTTCGGATGGTAACTGTCGATGACTCTACAGCTGTTTCTGTTGATCCTATAAGATGATAGATAAATAGATGTTTATTTAATACGTTATATAAAAAATGACATTTGTAGCTGGTCATGAAGCATAAAACATTATAAGTATGAATAGAAGTTGCCAAGCAGGCAATCAGACAGGTAAATTATTAGCGGAGTTTATTAGCGAAATAAGGTTTCTATGTTTGCAAACTCTTTGAGCTGAAATATACATGAAAACGTGTATTTGAAATATTCGTCCACGGTTATTCCAAGGAGTTTAACAGTGCCACCATTTGAGAGTGTGTGATTTGCGAAAAAGTTCAGTTTTTGTGTTTTGTTTCTGTTCAGGCAGAGTAGATTATTAATATACCAGTGATGTGCTATATTTTCCACCTCCTCTTCAATGCATTTAAGAGTGCGCAAGTCTGAGTGTCTGTCATTCAATGTCGCATCAGCATACATGACAATAGTCTTCGGAAAGAGGTAGTAAAAAATATCATTGATGTAAATAATGAACAAAAGGGGTCCCAAGACAGACCCTTGGGGCGCACCACTCCATTTAGTTAATTTCTCTTATACATAGTCCATCGCGTAAAGAAATTTCTAAGAAGAATTTCTTTCACTTGACAAACTTTTTTTTTATTTCAAACATTTTCCTCAAATTTCGATACAAGCGCATCTAAAAATGATAGTGTTATGTTGAGATTATATTCATCCGTTTCTCACAATCATAAGCCAAAGCAAATCTAAATTTTGAATAATAATAGTAATGCATCCAAAATTATTTTGGATGCATTACTTTTTTTATGTTTTCGTCAGCCTTTTTGGGGCTTCCACTGCATCGTTCGCGGTGCTCATTTCACCACGTTTAAACTTTGCAAACCACTTCTCAACGGTTGATTTTCCTAGTGCAAAGTCCGAATGATGTTTATCAAGAGCCTTGGCTTCAAGAGTACTTTTTTTGCCAAAAAGTAATGCTTCAAACTAATAAAGCTGTTTCACTCAAAATGTTCTATCCCACAAACTAATAATCCGGCAGCTGTGAAATTTCTACTCGTGTCTTTTGAAGGTTACAGTTAACTGGAAATCAAACGGATGCAATACTAGTAGCGCCATCTGTGTGTTAGCCTACTGATTTTTCAGCCCACCAAATATTTTTTCAAAGCTTTTGGAACGTTTATCATAATATTTTCTAATGTCTTTGGAGTTTTAATCGGTCATTCATATGTTTACAATCTCTCTGGCAATTTTATCGCTCCATCTTCTTGGTCTAACACATTTTCTGCTATTTTTAGGTTAGCTTTTCGAAATTTGATGTCAAAGAGTCCATATTACTCTTGCTTCAAGCACCATTATCTTCTTCATAACTTTTTGTATATGTGTTACGTTATTAAGTTTTTGTGTCCTCTTTTCAATGGTTCTTACGAAAACTAACCAAGAGGTGTCTGTCTTGAAAATTTTCTGGTGAGTTTGACCCACCTGTCTGAAATTTTGTAAGTAATCCTGTGATATTTATTCAAATGATATTTCATTTTCTTC